AATTCTAGTTCTAATATTTTTAAATAAAATATACAAAAATTTTTATACATAAATGTGATCGATGATTTCTTGAAACTTCTGGATCTTGGATTCTCAAAAACTTCCGGATCCGGGTCAGAGAAAAATCCGGATTTTTTCAGGAGTACAATTATCTCCGATTCTTTAAAAATTAAATTTCTATTTATTTTAATCTGATAGCAGTGCGCTTTGCAATGTTTCACCACAATAGGTATGTATAAGTGGCGTGCATAGCTTGATCAAGATTTCCTTAAAAGTATGTTAAATATATGAAAAGCCCTTACCATCTGTTCTTTTATGCGAAACCCTGAAAAACTAATAACCAAGTTTTTCATTGACGCACTGTACAATGGTCGGATGTTGTTAGGCAGAGACTGCAATAAAAACAAAGTTAGTTCAACATATAAGAATCTTATACATTAAACTAATTGAAGTATCTCTAATACAAATAACCAGTAATTGGTATTTTTTGAGAAAATTTTTTTGACTCGCTGTTTAATAACCCAGTTAGTTATTTTCTTTGGTATGATATGATTATTACTTCATGCATTTCCTTCTGTTTATTGCGTATAAAATAACTTTCTATATAATTTTCTTAAAAAAAAAAAGAAATTTTTTTTTAAAGAAAGATTTATAAAAAATAAAGATTTATAAAAAATAAAATTAACAAAAGAAATTAACATAAAAAAGTTTTCTTCCAAATTTCTTACATTTTCAATCTCTAAAACTTTGTTTTTTATGAAAAATCTTTTTTTTCCACAGTGGCCTAGCCGTGGGATAAAATTTGACATGCAACAAAAATTCAGCTAACCGTTACTTTTTACAATCAAAAGTTTTGAGATCAAAAACAGAACATTTTGCTTTTTTTTTAAAAATTACTTGAACCAAAGTAAAATTTCTTAACAACTTTAGAAGGTATCAGAATCCACTAAATATGATAAAATGATTTTTAAGTGCTTTCTGATGTTTCACAGGTTGAAATATCATTTTGTTTGGGTGACAGTGAGAGGAATTTCAAACAGAAGAGGATGAAATTGATCACTTTTCCATTAATGTTTGCAGAATTTTTTAACATAAATCATTGACAGTCCTTTTTTAAATCCAGCACATCTTTGTCCTTCGCAGGAAAAGATGAAAAGATATGCTAAAGGAGAACTATAATATTTTAATTTCATAATTTTTCCATATGTGGTGATTCTTATATACCTTTGTTTTTTGATGGAGTAGCATCTTGTAACACAATATTGTAATATTTTGTAATGTATTGTATTGTAATATTTTTTAATGTTACATTATATTGTAACATTAAAAATTTCAGCATTAAACAGGGTTGCAAAAAACCAACCTACCCAGTAAAACTCACCCTAAAATGGGTTTTACTGTGTTTTTATAAAATAGATTTCTTTCTTATCCTCTGTTACATTAAAGAGCTATTCTATTGAAATATATATGTAGTCTATGGAGAAAAACCTGTGTTTGGAGACTAGAGTCACTTTGCTGGTTAGATTTGACTGTAAGGCCATTGATTAGACAGGGCCTTTGATTTGTTTTCTATGCAAAAAAATTATTTCCTCAGATATTTTTAAAGATTAAAACATAAATAAAAAGTAATCCTATGTTAAAATAAGTTTCAAATGCGTGATGTAAGTGAGTACATATAACATTTTGTATCGTGATGTCCGAAACTTTTTTCAGACTTTTGCACCAATTTATTTGTATTAATTACCTATATGTTAAGTCAATTCATAAAATTAAACTTAATCATTAATATTAATATAAGCTTTTTTAAAATAAGGTACTTATCACTGCCCTCTCTTTGGAAAAAAAACCCCAATAAAATATGAAAAACCAACTCTGGTTGGGTTTTTATAGAAAAACCTGGGTTCTTTGCAACCCTGATAAAAAATAGATTATCTTTTCTTGCTTTGTTTAAACTTCACAATTCCAATTTAAGTTTTTTTTTTATGAACAACTACAATAGTATTTCCCCTTTCAATCAATAATTTTTATTTTATTTTTATAAGTGTTAATTAAAATACATACTTCTTTGCGATAAATTTTCTCTCTTTTATGTACCCTAATCAGTGGTATTTCACTTTTGATTCAGATTTTAAAATAAATGTAGTTTGTTTTAAAATTGAATTTCACCATAATTTATACTTGCAAACAAATTATTTCGTATAAAACAAAACTATATAACAATAATGTATTAAAAGAGACATCAATGTAAATACATTTATTAAGATAAAACAAACATCAAAAAAGTAACATAAATACTTCGTTTTTCTTTGCATACTGCATGACTGTAGTTGGACCTAAAATTCTCTGACCAGCTTTGTTAAGACTGTAAAATGTGTCCCCCTCAAACTCATCCAAAACATATATTGTATTGAACTCAGCACCTTGGTTAATGTATTCCAGACCATTACAACTAAACACAACGGGCAATTTGAAATGCTAAATAAAGAAAATATACATTATAGATATACATTAATTCGAGCACAGAGGTGAAAAGTAAGAAAATGCTAACACTGATCTAATGTCTAATGACTAGTAACTAAAAAAATTTCAATATTCTAAACACATGCATCCGTTAAGCTTCATAACTTAAATACTAAAATTTTCTTAAACAAAGTAAATCTAACCAAATTTTTTCAAATTTTTTTTGCAAAATAGTTTAAAAACGTTAATAAAGTTTTGTGAATTGAAATTTTATCAGTTTTTTTTAATACATGGGTTTAATATAACAATTTTTTTTTTCAGTGGTAGAAAATTATACTAAATATTAATATAAAATTAGAAGAAAAAGGAATGTGTCATATTCAAAATAATGTAAAAGAAACACAGCCTAAAAAATTTGTGATAGAAACACAGACACAAAACATTAATTGAAAAATAAAATTGTGCACACAATCTCTTTATGCTCGTATAACTAATAGTTAACAATAGTAGTGAGTAAAAATAGATTGAAACTCACTAGCAGTAAGGCTGAGAATTAACAGCTTTTGCTTTCCTCAATGAGATAGATACTCCACAAGAACAAATTGTTAAGATAAGGCATTCTGCATTCTTACCCCCACCCCCCTCTGCTGACCAGATGAGTGGTCCTCTCGCCATTCAAGTCCCATCCTCTAGCGACCACCATGTAAAAGGGTGCAACCACAAACGATTTGTAACCTAGAAATTTCTTGTGACATTTCATTTAATTACATATTTAGAATTATTAAAGAATGTTGCAAATTTCCCTAAGAATTACAGGTTTCACCTGATTCCAGATGATACCTTATTCCTGATATTTGTAGAGAGGTAAAATAAATATCAGTATTTGTTGATTACAGTGAGGCATAGCGGAAATGCTACAGCTTCTCAGTTCTCACATGATCTTAATAAATTTTATAAAGTCGGGGTTCCGCAGAAAGAATGTTGATTATTTAGGGTTCCCCAACTGAAAAAAATTAAGACAGCTGTTCTAAATAGTCTTATAGCAGACTACTTAGAAGTCTGTCTTATTTTTTTATCACCTCATAAGAAAAATTGTGAACTATCATAAGCCTATTGTACCATTTAAGATAGTACAGGAGGTAAAAGAAATAAATGGAATCAATCATTCATAGCTATTTAAATAGCAAAATAAATTAAAATACTTTTACATTCTCATTTTCAGAATTTTCTCAGTGTAACAAGATATCAAAGTTTGACCAATTAATAGTCATGGTTTAACTTTTTTTTTAAATTTTGAATTACTGCTTTAAAAATGTAGATACTTTCAAATTTTCCTACCCAAGTTTTTACTGCCTCCCCCTTTCTTACTAATAGCTAAGTATAATTTTAGATTTATCAAAATTTTTTATGGCTATTAATGAAAAAAAAATTTTTTTTGTTGATGAATTTTGGTGTTACAGGACAAAAATATTTTTGTATTATCAAAAAAATAAATAAAAATTGAGTAATCAAATTTCGAGTAACTGAAAAAATATTAAATGTTTAAACCAGTATTTCAAAATTACTCAAAATTAGTAAAGAAATAGAGCGGTAGCTATTTGCGTAACAGAAGTTTGTAAGTTTTTGAAGAGTTTGAAAAATGAAGCAAAACTTGGGAGTCTTCTTAAAACAAGATGCTTTTGGAGCATTAAAAGAATACACAAAACACAGAAGTTATAAATATTTTATAACTTCTGTGGTAACTATTCGGTATAAATAAAAGACTCATCTTTTATAAATAAAAACAATTTATTTACCTTAACAGAGCTTATTAAATCTTCATTTCGTTTGAGCTCCTCTCCAATAATGCAAAACCTGAAACCTGTAAAATGAATAACTTTCTTAAGGGAAGGCAGTTATTTAAAATAAGATAAATATACAGTTAAAAGAAACTATTTATTTATGGATGAAATCTATACAATTTTCAACTTACATTAAGTGTGTCCCTTTACATTGAAATAAAAAAATAAACAAAAAGAGTTAAAAGATTATTTGCAATAGTTCAAAGTGTGAACAATTGCAAAGTGCACAAGAAAATATCAGAAAGTACACCAATAATAAAATGTGTCCATTATATTATTTAGCAAATCATACTATATAGCTAAAAAAAAAACAAACACTACTATTAAAAGTAGAACAAAAAAAATAGCTTTCAACAACTTAGTTTATTTAATCATCTTCATGTAATTTCAGAAAGCAGTTATTATAATTTCCATTTCAATACATGATGAAACCTAAAAATATTGTTTCTGGAAATTTTAAATTTTTGTAGGCCTCTGGTATAACACATCCTATGCGATCCTTTTGGATACAGATAATCTTAGTTTTAATCTATAATTGCAGACCACTCTTTGTTCAACATTATTCAGGCATGATTGTATTTACAAAGAGAAAAACCCTGAAAATTTTCTGTGCAAAAACCCAACATCATGATACCAATTTATAAACTAAGATTTATAATTAAATTACCTAACAATGGAAAATATCACATCTTAATAGTAACTAATATAAGAAAAAAACTTTGTTCTTACAAGAATCACGGTATTAGATTTTAAAATCATATGAATATGATTCACAGTATTGGATTTTAAAAAAGCGAAAATGCATAACGCTGTATTGGATTTTTAACCACATTAATATGAATAGCAAAACATGATCTTTGGATTGCGTGATATGAATCAAAATGAATTAAAAACGCATAAATATGAATAGGGACATTAGATTTTAACCTTGGGTCAATATGAATCGAGATACTGGTTTTAAAAACACAAAAGTAAAAATCACAAAATTGGATTTTTAAAATTGAATTATACAATTAAAAATGAGTAACCTTTAAATCAGGTTAATTCGAATACTGATGCTCGAAAAATCATGTGAATATGAATCGAGATACTATTGGATTTCGGTGTAGTTTCAAACATTAAAAATGTCAAAAATCCAACAATCCTGAAGAATCAAATAGGCAGAAGAATAAGAGCCATGAAAAAGACTAACATGATTTAGCAAAATTTTTGAAATGCAAGTTTTAGATTGTGGAACTCCATAAGTTTTGATTCGCAGAAATCAGCGTATCAATGGTCATGAGTTATGTGGAATTATGAGAAATTTGTGAAAAAATTACATGCCCTGCTCTTAGTTCTTAGAACTGAAAGGATGATAATAAGAAAAACCCAGAATTACGGGATACGACAATTTCTCTTCAGCAACCCAAAGCAAATAACCCTAATTATATTGAATGTTATGTCCTCTAACTATTGAAAACTACATCACCTCATTGCTCTCATATTCTGTACCTATAAACCTTGTATAATTAATTAATTTAATAGAAAAGACAATTGAAAGATCTCTTTACCTAGTTCTGGCAATGAGGAACATTCTTGTTTTCCATTGAAAGTCATTCTTCAAATCTAGAGGTAGTAAATTAGCTTCTGTGGGAAGAAAAAAACAATAAGGATAAACACATAAAATATTGAAAAAAGATAAAAATATATTAAATAAAAACATTGAAAGTTATACACTGATTCACATAAGTCACACATAGTTTGAGGAACTATTAGGAATCTTACAAAAAAGGACAATAAATCAAAAGAAAAACTCAAAATTACAAATAAGAATTTCTTTTAGATTTATCAAATTTGTTTGAATTTAGTCTGAAAGCAGATTACATTATTATAAATTTAACTGAATACTTAGTGAAATATTTAAATCGAACTTTGATGGAAAAAAAAAAGGAATGTTACAGACATTATTAGTTTCATATGCTTTTAAAACCTTATTTTTCTATGTAAAGATATATATATATATATTTTTTTTGCATAAAAAATAAAGACTTAATTTTGTTTTTAGATTATTCCTTTTTGACAAGGTATGTGTTGCAACTAATTGCTTCGTCATCTTCTTCATAGTCTGATTTAGTTTTATTTAAGGTTGATTATTCAGGGTCAGATAGAATCACAAATTTAAATAATCACTATTTGATACAATATATTTGTGCATACTTCATCGTAAATATAAGTTTATTTTTTGTCAATTCGGCAGTTGGCATCATGCACTTGTACGTGGTATTTAGAATCTCAATATTTTAATATAATGTTATTACATCAGGAAGAATTCAAAAACTTGAGGAAAACGTGAGTTTTTAAACTGCTTACTGCTTGTAATTTATTTTGTTTTATCTTTGCAGATTTTTTGAGGAAGAAACTAAAAAGAGAACATTTATTTTCAAAATTCTTAAAACCTTTAATAATTTAAGAAATAGTAATAATATCTGAAAAATAATACGAAATATATAATTTTATTTTGTATATAATGAATATGTTTTAATTTTTGTTTAAACATTAAAAATTTTCACTCAGTTTTTTTTTCTTTTAAAAAAAACTATAATTTTTTTATTTTTAAATAAATTCAAATAATTAAATATATTTAATTTTCAGCAAATATGTTATTAAGTTTACTGATAAAAAAATCTTAGTACTTAGAAAACTAATGTTTACATAAAAATGATCATATTTGCCACTAACATGAATAAATATGAGTGCCATCCTTCATTAAATGACCTACCTTGCAAGTGGCCCTTTACTCAAAAAGGTTGTGTAACCCTATATACAAATTTTTACATCATTGTGAAGTATGTAATTTGAAATGACAATAAAATTAAATCAGTTGAACAGTTTTTAAGTTATTACATTTTAAAAATTGGTATTATTTAAAAATTTATCTCTTGAGGCTTATTACAAAACAAATCCTAACTTGAAGTATTAACTAGAGTATCAAAATTGAAATAAAATTATTACTGAACAAGGTGACAAGTAAATAGATGGAAACCATAAATAGTTGTATCGCAGATAGATGGATATCTTTACTGTTAGCAAACTGAACTATTCTCAAAATAAATCTACAAGAGAAATATCATGTCAGAATTTTGCACAGGAATATTTCTGTATAGGCAACAACTTCAAAATAATCATCAAGTTTTAGCGACTTTGGCAGTGACACGCAAGAAATTGAGAAAAAACAACACATAAATCATAGGTCAACAACAAATACCAACAAACCACAACAGATTTTTATAAATTTTTTTTATTTAAGTTCACAAACCTTTTACTCTTTAGCTTAAACAGCTAAAAAATAATTTAATCGATGACATAAGATTCAATTTTTATCATGCAATAATAAAAGATTTTGCAAAACCTAGGATGTAAACATTGCTTTTTTTTTTCAGAAGACTACATGCCTCAAGTTTGTGTACCTCCATCAGCACACTAATAATGTAACAATCAATAATTTAAGGGTCATAAAAAAATAAGAAATGGTATTTAGAATTAAAGATTCAATTATCACAGGTATGATTTAACAAAGGTATGGAATTTACAAAGTTTTTATAAGAAACATGAGCTATCCCTTACTTGTATCAACTTTCAACACAGCTCGTTAGAACGATACATTTCTTTCTGACCAGGAAAATTTTCTTGAAAGCTCTGATGAGAGTTATTCTACGTGCTATAATAGAAATACGAGAATAAAAATAACAATTTTATTTAGCGTTGATAGCATATACAACTATGTTAAAATATAAGGAGTCATAAAACAAGGTCACAACAAAAAAGAAGAAAATAGGAAAATAAAGTGAAACAAAACTTAACTAAGAGAAATATAATCTTTATCTGAATTAAAATTTAAAATTACAAACATGAATTGGTCGGTAATATTACGAATAACCCATGTTTCTCAAGCAGCACTTAATGTTTTTGATTTGATTTGAATGGACCGGTTCAATAATTGTTGCCATTTTATATTTCCAAAATGGCAACAATTATTGAACCGGAAAAAAAAAATCTTACCAACATGACATAGGCATAGATGGCGATACAGTATAAAGAGAGTGAAGATTGGGGCTGACAAATATTGCTCCATCAAATTGATCCTATCAGATATTTTTCATAAACGAGTAACAACACACTTTGCGTACTCGGAATATTATTTTTAAATCACAATGACAGAAAATTATATTAAATAAAATGCTCCAGATTCGTTTGAGAGTGAAATTTTTTTAAACGCACATCCTGTTCGTATGGATGGGTGATCGTGTAAAGCTAAGGTTGGTGGCGCTAGTGGTAAAATTGCTCTTTTAAGACTTCCGGGTTACTGCTTCCGATATATTTTTACGCCGCAATTTGAAAAAACGCGCCATCATAATATTGCATCATATATTTTGCAGTATTTCACACGTACCGAGTTCTTCTCTTTCAGCCTTTAAACTTCAGCATTATCATATTAATATTATAATCATTAGAATATTTTCCAATTAGGCTAACTTAAAGAGATATTTTTAAAGATATTTTTGGCGAAATTTTATTCAAATGTAGCCAAATAAGGGATGAAATACAAAACATGGCAAACCTTAAGAATTATTCATAATGAGATATTAATTTTCCAAAATATTTTTTGGCCTTACGACCTCTGAGAATCAATACATTTCTGAAAGCTCTTATGAATGGTCAAATTATATTTAGATCTGAACCCAAATTACAATAACAAAACTGCATAGAATATTAGGCTTATTCACATATCGCCTCGTAGTCATAACATAAGCGGAGGGATACACCGGAAATTTTCTAAATTTCTTCCGGTTTCAGGACGCTTGTTATTGTTTACATTAGACCATCCATCCATATGGTTTGCCAACCAGTGCTTGATGCTTTCAAATTATTTCTGCAATATATGGTTAAAATAAATGCAAAAATTTATATTTGTTAGATTAATTATTATTTGAAATATAATAAAAATAATTTAGTCAGTATTATTAGTTAAAATTTAGAGATATAGTTCGAAATTAAGATTCAAAAAGCTTATTCAAAAATTGAGATATTTTAAAATTTTGATACCAACGTAATGATAATGGTCGCACTTGGAGATTATATTTTTAACAATTTAATCTAGGCCTAAAATTAAAAGAGATATAGCCAAAAGCTAAAAAAAAAAGTTCTGGCTAATATAATGATATAGCATAAAAGTGATGATATGACAAAATCTAAGCCAGCTTACAAAGTATTCAAAATTAGGGAGTTATAAGCATGGGATGAATAATTGCGATGATCAGTGTTAGACCTAATCTAAATTATTTGTAGTGGGTAGCAATTCGAATTTTCTAATTCGCGATCGCAACGAACTATAGGG